GTGTTTCCCAACGTAGATAACGTAAAATCATATGCTTAGGCATTTTCAAATAAATATTTTTATTTAATATTTCGGCTTCAATTCTCAGTCCAATGAAGTTAATGATCAAGTGGAATGGAATGACAAAATTAAAAATGTAAATCAAAAATGTGACATAAAGTTGCAGAAAAATCAATCGAACAAGTATTAACTTACTGTAATGACTGAACTTCTGGAAGAAACCATCAAATGTAATCTTTGCATTCGAATGAAGCAAACAACGATTAATCAATTTTTTCAATAGCTATAAAATTGTATATATTTATATATATAATAGAAGTTTTATTACTGATATTCAAAAATTTAGTCCCATGAATTTGTAATTTAAGCACATTACTTCCTTTAAGGTAAAAAAAAAAAACAAAAAAAAAAACATAAATAAAAAACAAAAAAAAACATAAATAAAAAACAAAAAAAGCCCATAATGCATATTTTTTTTTAACAAATATTTCTATAAACCAATTTACTAACCTGATATTTTACTAATTTTTATTGAAAAACATACCTCGCTACTCATATAGAGTACTCGAAGTAACGAAAAGTTCGATATAACAAACTGGCTTGAAAATTAATTTGTTCGTTATTGCTGTATATATATGTATATAGTACATAGTATATAGTATATACATATATATGTATAAATGTACAGTCAAAGTTTTCCATGCAAGAACTTGATTTGTAGCGGTCATTTTTAAGGCAGCTACATATATGAGCAGTTTCTTGTGGAGAAAAAGTCGAACTTCGTGAAGATATCTTGTTATCTACCATACAAGCACTTCATTTGAAGAGTTTAGCTTGTATTACAGCTATATGATATAATGATGTGATATCGGCGGTTGCGACAAATGAGCAGCTTCTTGTAGAGAAGAGGACAAACTTCAGATCAATATCTCAAACACTGAAGGACTAGTTCCTTTATAAACAGGCACATGTTTAGACAAACTGACAGGCTATATCGACTCAGCTCGTCACGCTGATCTTGTATATAATATATATAAATACTTTATAGAATCTCCTACGTTTCTTTTTGAGTGTTACAGACTTAATATATCCTGTTCAGCGTATAAAAGTATAGTTAATGGCCGGTGTGTCTTTAATGATTTTATTAACCACAAAATTCATTACATACAATTTATGTTTGGTAAAACACATTTTTATTATAAAAATGTCTCAATTATCAGCAAATTAGGAGCCAAACAACATACATTTCACTCCTTTTTGTTTTTCTTTTGCCAAATCGCTGGCGGAACACCCACAGCACATGCACACAAGTAATTTTAATTACTTTCATTACCAATTACGCTTACAAGCCATGCAATTTCTTTTACAGCTTTGTAGGCTTGCATGCCTACTACTGCCCAATGCAGCGGTGTAATGAACTTCAAAACACTAATTACAACAGTTTGAATGCAAAAATATCGAACAACAAAAGCAATTTCGAATATATTATTTATAAGTTATTGAGTCGAAACCGCATAGATTGCGCTTAAATAGCTCAAGTTCATATTAGGCAATTCTTACAAACACTCAATATATATTTATATGTCTCTTTGTCACGAAATTCGCTGCGATCATTGTTATTATTGTTCTTGTTGTTGTATTTTTGCTGCCCAGACGCTTTATGGACCATGAAAATTTTAGTTTGTTAGTTAATCAAGTCAACGATTGCGCCAACACTGAACTGAACACACACAAAAACGCATACTCTGCCAGAATTATAATTTAATGTCGTGCATAAGTGTGTTGGTTAGATTAAAACATGAGCGCTGCAGCTGAGTTAAATAATGCACTTGAATCTTTGCTTAAGACTGCTGTAGCTCATTCGTTAGCGCATGCGTGTTTTGTCGACTGTGTATGTGTTGCGTCTTTGTATGTGTGTTTGTTTGTGTTTTTCGTTGGGCTGCAGTTGTTGTGAGATTTTCGTCAGAGCGCTGGTTGACTATGCAGCTTGCCGCTTGTTCAGGAGATTAGCCGCTGGTTGAGTTGAATGAAATCGAGCTGAATTCAATTAAGCGCTGCGGCGTTGCGTTTTGCGCGTTAATCTTTTTTTCACATTTAAATGCATAATTTATTTCGGCAGCAGCGAAGTTGCTCTGAATTCGCGCTTGGCGTTTGTGTCATGCAGTTTGAGGTTAATTGAATGCAAACAAAAGCGCCAAAACAAGCGGCGCTTGTAAGCAGCAGAAAGGAAGCAGGCGCATGTTATACAAAAAAAAAAAACCGGACTATATGTTTAGAGTTATACATATACACAAACACATACACGCACATAGACTCGTGTACGCGCTTGCGCTTTTTAATCTCATTTTGGCAATGCGATGAGCTACCGCGGCTGTGGCGGGTTGTGGCTTGTTTGCTGCTGTGCCGCGTACTTTTTATTAGCTCACACATTGCCAGCGCCTCGTTATCGGCGCGTACCAGCAGCATGTTTCGCATTTAATATGCTCGCATGTTTTCAGTTGTTTCAAGTCGTCGGCTAATGAAGCTGTTTTGTGTTTTTCTCTGTGCCGCTTTGGCGTTTTATCGCCGCTGTATGCACTTTTCCACGGCTATCATTTCGCGCAGATGGTGTTTTTGATAATGAATGGGCGGCATACACACACAACGCGCACCACACATACATACATGCGTGCAGGCATATCACGACGGCAAGCAGATACGCAGCGCGCTTCGGCTGCAGTTTCACAGTCTAAATATCTCGTTAACCAGCCAAGTGTCGGATGATGATACGCCGTTTGTGCCTCAGCACGACGCTGTGGCTCACTGCACATTGCGAAATTTAATTAACGTGGCAAATGCAAATTCAAGCACTTCGCTTTGTGTGTGTACGCCACGGTTTGTATATATTTTTTGTCGACACTGTTGTTTGCCAACTGCGTGAATTAACTTACGATGCTACAAGCAGCACTTTGTGGCGCACATTTATCATATCTATACAAACATACACACACATATATATATGTGGCTTAATAAACCAGTGGCTTGTGAAAATAAGCATTTTTAATTGTCAATTTCTTAAGCGGAACAGCTGAGTTGCCACAAGCGATTATGAAAGAAAAGCGAAAACTTAAGAAATGACATGGCCGCGTGCGCACACGACATGCCCAAAGTAATGCACACATACACACACACATACCTTTACGAATAGTTGACGAAATATCGCCAAAATAAATCGTTAAACACGTGAGCGCACACGCTTTCGGTTACCAAATACATGCCGTCTGCCAACGTTTGCTGCGCTGTCTTGTTATATCACCAATTTAAACAGTCGCAATGCCGCCATGGCACGCATCGCTCAACACTAAGCGTATTTGGAAGACACACTAAGGCGCTTATTATTAATTCTCCACATCGGCGAGCCTCGTATGGCAGTCGTTACACGCAGCCGCCCGCGCTGCGTTTGCCTTGATGGTAAGGTTTTGTGCAGCGTTGCGTACAAAACAGCGCCAAATCGAGATAACAATGCAACAACAACTATAATAACAACATCCAACAACATTTACAAACAATAAAAGTTTTATAGAAATGTTAACTGCTTGTAATATTCGAGTAAATCTAGCGGCGAAACAGAGCGTTGTAAGCAACCGGTTAACAACTACAAGAACAACAACAACGCTAGAAACTATAGCATAGCCACCATAGAAAACTCATTAGTCAGCACAACTAATATATTTAATAGGAAAACCAAAACTAAAAGCTATAATAGTAGCATTTAACCATAAGCAGTCGACTGCACAGTGGGTTCGAAGTGAAAATATTTACTTAAATTTTACGTACTGGTTCTCAAAATAGATATGTTTTCCAAATCTGAGAATACCAGAAAAATTAATAGGTGGTACAAATCTACATCAGGCGAAATCTAAAACACGAGCACTACTCATTACATTACGAAAGAAGGTCTATCGACGCAAAATAAATAAAAATAAAAATACCTCGTTCAAACTAGTAATCTGTGGGTTCCAAAAAGCCTTGGATGATGGTTATGGTATTGGTACACTACTACCATTAATTGATGTTAAAAAAAAAAAATCTAGAGGCGGCCCTAACTCGCTTTAAAAATAAATTTCGAGTTAAAAATTTTTTTTTTGTTGGAAATTTTTTATTTGGTCAATTCTTTACATTTATGTAAAAATTACAGAATTTGACGGTCCACAAAATTTATTTTAACGCTAAACGAAAACATGTTGTCGTTTAAGACTTTTTTTTAAAACTCCAAAAATTACCACAAATTTTTTTTTTAAGTTGATAACTTTTAATTGGACAAAAAGAGGACTCTCCACAGCTTCTAGAACACATATCAAAAATTTGTTTGTCCAAAAAAATTTTAACTCGAAATTTTCTTATTTTATATTTTATAAACTACAAATTTTACCCTCAGGCTAAGCAAAAACAAAAAAAAAAATTTCGCTCCACCCAAATATTTATCCGAAAAAAATTCACAAACTAAACGCCAGCACCCAGTTGATCGAAACTTAACACTCGTTTGTTGCAATAACACTCAAATTGGGCGCTGTGACACGTTTCTCCGAACTCGATTGTCTTCTTTATAAGTATATATAGGCAAAATTTTCAGCGTGACGAGCTGAGTCGATTTGATCAAGTCCGACTGTTTGTTCTTTTGTATGGATTATTTTCCAAAGCAACGCTACATTCTCCGCACATATTGTTCAGATCGAACCATTCCAGTATATAGCTGCCATACAAGCTTACCTATCCAAATCTATAAGATCTGCTAACTTACAGTAGTAGTTAATTTTGTTTCTTCTTTTTAATTAATTTCGAAAATCATTCGTACTTTGAAGTTTGAGCGAAGAATCCTATGCAAGAATATCAAAATATCAGCACAAAAAATTTCCCTACAGTCACCTTTCAAATACAAATAAAAGCATTATTTAAGAAAAGAAAGATAATTACAAAAATAATTGTTATATAAAAACAAGCATATCTACACACACACACACAGTTATAAATAAAAGCTCGCCACTATAATTAACTGCTATATTTCTTTTTGAAGACTTTGACTTCTTGAAAGTTCTTGTTGACGTCTGGAACAATTAATTCCTTAGCAATGAAACGAATTTATTTGAAAACGCAACATGTCAAAGAACAGCTGCAACCAATACACAACTAAAACACGACTGGCTTACAGCAGTCAGCGCACAAAATTCGTGGTTTATTGTTTGTTGCCTTTTAGGTTTCGCTGTCGCGTGTGTTTCTCCAACGTTTCAGTTTCACTTAGCTTCGTGTATTTCGGGTTGGCTGGCTGCTTTAGTTTCGCAGCCAAAAATGGTAGCCGAGACGTTGCAATTACGTTTGGCTGGCCAACAAAGGCAATGCCAAAGTGCAAGCGAGCGATTCGCAAACCAGAAACAAAGGCGCTGAAAAGCGTTCGCCTAATAAATCAGCACGTATCGCACGTTAGTGGTCGTAATAAAAGCGATAAGCCAGCTAACAAAGCAAACGCCATGGATTGCCTTAGCCGGAAGTTTCGCCAAAGTTTGCTTTTCCCACGTAAAGTGCACGCAATATGCCACAACAACAACGGCACATCTACAACAATAGCACGTACAGCGCGCAGATAACCTTATAAACATACGTGCAATCGTATATATGTATGTGGTACGTCTGTATTTTGCAATAGCAACCCACCTGTTGATTGATTTATCGCGACGAAAACGCAAGCAACAAAAAGCAGACTGACGTCTGAGCTGACGTCGAATGCGTTAATGGTAGGAGATTTATGGATTTCTTCGATTTCTATTGCACTGTTATCAATACCACAACGACGACTTGTGGCAGCAACAGTGCTTTCCAATTTCCAATTGCAATTACAGCTTTTCAAACTTTTTATTTATTTTTAATACGTTAATTTGCCTCAAGTCACAAATCACGAGCACTCGAAAATCAGCACCGTTCGCCAACTGGTTGGTAGGTTGGAGTAGACAACGTACCGCACACGGTAATCAACACCGAACGACTGATGGCCAGTCGGCTGTGTGGCTGCCTTGAAAGCGCGGCCAAGCACAGATACAGTGCGAAGCCAAGCAAAGCGCACAGCTGCCGCGGCGACAAATGGCGTGCAGCGCCAAAGAGCGGCTACAAGCAGTGCCGCCGTCGCTACTTGGGACCACCGTATGTGGAGTATTTGCTGTTGTTGTTATTCGCTTTTGTTATTGTTTTTGCTTTTGTTTTCACATGTGGTTTCTCATTCGTTTCGGTCACAGTGGTATAATAAATTAGTAAAAATCAAATGGAGCGATGATTGTGTATGTGTGTGCGGTTTCAACAACAACAACAACATGTAGACAGCCGCACGAAATCGCAGCCAAAAACCAAGAAACCAAGCACCGAAATCAGAGCCAAAGTTGGAGCTTTTACAAAAATATTTTTCATGTGTCTTGCTCATCCACAAACAGCGCGCTGGTCTGACGCTCAGTTGTGCAGACGTGCCGGCGGGCATGGCGGCATTCAGGCAGTGTCACACGTTAGCCACACATTGAGCGCAGCCACTTGGCAGATCTGTGGTAAGAGCGAAGTCCAACGTAGGCGCTGCGCTGTCTGCAACACTTTTGAGCGCTTTTGTATGATCCATGGTATGGCTTTGTTGCGCTTGCTCTGTCCAGCAGTTATTGGCTTTGTTGACAACAGCGCCACAATTTTGCGCTCTTTCAGGTTAACATATTGAATATCTGTTACGATTTTGTGCACTGCTGTAACCAGAAAAAGAGAGCGCGTGTTGTTAATTGTTGAGACGGGATGAGCCTAAAGACCAGAACTATTTGCAGTGTGCAGGCTTAGCAACACATTTCATAAAAACAAGGTTAACGAAGTGGAGTCCCAGTCGCTATTTCATGCTATCTGTCTAGTTAAAACGTCATATCCTCATGACTCAGGATACGATTGAGTTAAGAGCTCCACTGAGTCCAGGGATAGGCATGATTGTGGCTCCGTTCAATCAAACAGACAATAAGAGGCAGCTATGACGAAAATTATATTAAAAACTAAAATAAATTTTACTCACTTTGCTACGATAACTTTGCATCATAGAATGCACAAAAGCGACAACTGCGCGCTTAGTTGGCTATTGAGTAGAAGCCATTTCCGGCTTTTCACTGCCACCGTGGATGCTCAGCGAAAGCAGCTGTTGGCTGCAACGTTGACCGTGGACTTTGGTGTCGCTATTGGGTATTTGCTTTGTTCTCGAACAATGCCAACCAATGCAGAAGCCAAACATTAGCAACAACAACAACAGCAAATGACAACAACCAACGACAGCAGAGCAGAGCGTAAGGCAAAGGGCACTCAGCAAATTGAACGTAAAAGCTCTTATTGTATTTTGACAACAACTGAGCAAAGCGGCAGCTACAATAACAACAACAACCACAACAACAATGTATTGAATGTAAAGAACGCAACTGCATTCATAAGAACATTTGCCTTTTTGAAAAAAAAAATCGATTTGTGTCTGCAATTAGAAAATGGCAGCGAGTAATGGACAAATCGGGATAATACAACAAATAGCAAATAAACCTTTGATCTTCACTGCATTGTCGCTCGACAAAAGGTAGCCACCAGTAAATGGAGTAAATAGCTTAAACGGGTATAACGAGATTGTCTGGTGGTCAGTTGGTGCAGTGAAAATAGTCGTGGACTGCACGCAGACGGTGATGGCATAGAAATTTACCGTAAGCGGCGGCAGATGTAAACAACATTGTAGAGCTAAACAAACATCGCAGATATGTATGTGTCATGTGTAAATTAACAAAGAACATGCCTAACGGTTTTAAAACTCAATATTAGCGCTTTAGAGATATTTACCTTTAGTCAAGCGATCGGCTAGCGAAGGTGTGGCATATTTACACACACATACTTACACATAAAATATGGAGAATTATGACATAAATAATGCGAAAAGATAACATTGTGGGCTCTGCAATTGTTCAGCATGCAGACATACTTAAATACATATAAACATGCGTTCAAATGAATGTAAATTTCCAGTACTGAGTTACAAAATTGTTTTTATTGATCGTGCTTGCGAATAAAAGTTAGAAAAAAAAGATACAATACAAAAAAATCAACTGTAACTTGACAAGGCAAATACAATTAAAAATAACAACTGCAAATATTTATCAACAAATTGACTTTGGTATGAATGATATCATCACTGTGTTTATAACAATTTGCGAAATGCTGATAAGACGGCAGTCGATGTGTTAAGCAGTGTTCGACAAGCAAAAATGATTGATAACTGATAAGGCGAAGTTAAAAAGTTATAACACGTATACTTGTAAGATAAAAAAGTATACCCTTTCATACCAATTGGAGCTAATTAAGTAGATAGAAATCTACGGTTTGCAAGTTGAAATAATTTAAGTAATATTTATGTTATTTGGCGAAAATTTCATGTTGGAGGTTTTAAGCTGTCGCTAAAGCTCGAAAACCTAAAAGTAGTAGCACAGAATCGTTGCAATGATTTAGAGTTAAAGCTCTTGTTTTTCTGTTAAAGCCAAGCAAACGAAATAGCAACAATAAAAAAAAATTTATCAATACTAAGTAATCACCAGTAGACGTCTAGAGCTGCCATCAACACCTACCTACAAGCGAATTAGATTACTGAGAGCGTTGCAACCGAGTTACTTTAAACGGACTCTTTTACTGACATTGTCTGTAATATATATGGTGGAACCTTCGACAAATCATAGCAAGACGCAATGCGATCCCAAGCGTCTGAAAAGTCCAAAAAGTAGCTGAAGTCCATATCCGGCACATCTTGGGCAGCCGTAAATACAGATTGGTTGAAAATTCACTCACCAAGAATTTTTTTTTTTTGAAGTTGGTACATATATCGTGAGAACTCATGCAAAGTTACAAGTCATTTTGTCAATTAATTCTTTGTTGGAAAAAAACTGAATCGAAAACAAATTCCTCAGCATAATTTGAAGCGTTTTAAGCGGAATAAAACTAATTTCTTGTGTCGTTTTATAACTATGGATGAGACTTGGATCTACCACCATGATCGTAAATTGAAACAAGAACGTTTACAGTGGACTGAAGCTGGTTGTTCAGCTCCAAAGTAGGTGAAGTCACAACGATCACCAAAGAAGGTTATGGCATCAGTTTTTTTGGACGCAAAAAGAATTTTGTTGATTGATTATTTGCAGAAAGTTAAAACAATTAACTCTGAATATTATAGCAGCCTTTTGGAGCAGCTGAATGAAAAAATTCGTGAGAAAAGACTTGGTTTGCAGCAAAAAAAATTTTTTTCCATCAAGACAATGCAACTGCTAACAAAGGTGTTTTAAAAATGACAAAATTCAAAGAATTAATTTACGAATTGCTTGAGCATCCACCGTTTTCACCAGATTTGGCTCCCAGCAACTACTACCTCTTCATCAACCTGAAACAATTACTTCGTAGAAAACGTTTTCCGTCGACAGAAGAAGCTATTACTGGCGTAGACGGGTATTTTGCAGCGCTTTCGGAAAGTCATTATAGGGATGGCATAAAATTATTGGAGGATCATTGGAATAAGTTTAATGAACTTAAGGGAGATTATATTGAATAAAAAAATATATTTCGTACCAAAAACAGTGTTTTTTCATTTCGAACGCGGAAACTTTTCAACTGTAGATAGGTGTAAGTTGAATCGCTCCTTCATCATTTTCATAAGTATAGCCATAATAGGGTATATTAAGTTTGCCACTATATTTGTTTGTTACACCTAACAGCGAACGTCTGAGATCCTAAAAAAATATATATGAACATTTGGATAAGCGTGACGAGCTTAGTCGATTTAGCCATATCTGTCCGTCCGACCGTCTGTGTATATACAAACTAGTCCTTCAGTTTTTGAGATATCGATCGGAAATTTGCAACCGTTCTTTTCTCACCAAGAAGCTGCTTATTTGTGGGAACGACCGATATCGGATCACTAAAATATATAGCTGCCATATAAAATGACCAATAAAAATCTAGATATAGATCCTTTTATATCATTTTATGCAATAAAAAATGCACCTGTGACAGGTGTTATAGTTTCGCTACAGCCGCAGTTAAAATTGTTTCTTGTTTTAAATCAATTTTGGATGTTTAGACAGATTATACTGGACTTGATTTAAGCAAACATTCAAGAATTTTAAGCTTCTTTGAACCGAACAAAAAGTATAGAGCGCTTCCCAAGCGGAATTCTAAGGCAATTGGTAGTAACGCGTTCAATATAATCATCGGATGCGACCGCCTATACAATTTTGTGGCATAACACCAAGCCCTGGCTTGCTAATTAACGGAGTCTGTTGGTCAGACCCCACTCAAAAGTGAGATGTATGCACCTTTATACCCTTACCCTTTCGCCCTACTCACCTACAACTCTCTGTAAGCGTAACCAGGTAAAAATGTAGTTACGTTTACTTATCATCTAAAACAACAACAACAAAACTTAGTATAAACTAAGTAATATAATCCTACTGCATAACAACTGGTTGCATAAATAATGGACGTCGTAGAGGCAGTCGTTAATCCAGCTGCTTGAAGCCAACCGGATGTGCCTGGGCTTTGCAGCCACGGAGGTACTGCAACAACACCAACGAAAGGTATTCCTATCCCATAATACGAGTGCACGTATGAAACAATGCGACATACCAACAACGCAACGAAACTGCATGAGCGAAATTTCTAAAACGCCTCGGAGAATAAATGGCAAAATGGCAACCGAAAACAAAAAATTCCATCATAATAACAAAAGCAGCGTTCTTTTCGTTTTCTCTTTTTGTTTTGGTTGTTTTCTTAACGTTTTAGCGTTGTTTACGCTCTTCGCCCGTTTGGCCAAAATAACGCAGCCGCAGCATCCGTAACGAATCGCCGTTGCGCGCGGCAATAAAAAGTGGTACAAACTGATGAGCCTGGGAAAAAGTTGGCGGCAAAATAGCGTGCGCAGCAGCTGCTTTTGTTGCTGCTACTATGTGTGTAGTGGCGTCAGCAGAAAAACCCACCGCCCAGGTGCTGAGCCCATCCGCCCGTTCATATGCGCACTTTGCTGTAGCTGTAGCTATGTGCCACATATTTTTGTTGGTGTGTGTGTGTTTGTAGTGGCAACGGCTGTCGCAATATGGACTTGTCGGTCGATTTCTTGTCGGCAGCATGCATTCAGAACTTTTTTACAGACAGCAGTACATTAAAAAGGCAACATAAACAAAAAAAAACAAAACAGCAACAGCTGCAGCATAACAGTGCTCGTAAAACATAAGTGACTCCACGAAGCATCGTTTTACGCAATCTTCACACACCTCACACACTGACACACATAGGACCCACACATATGCGCCGCAATGACTGGCGTACAGGCGCGATTTACCAAGCAGTGGCGATGAAAATATGCGCTGCGTGTGAGCACACTTAAGCACACTCGCATGTCCGCATACATGGCTACAAAAACAATAGCAACAGCTCTCCCATATCCTTCTTTGCCTTGCGCCGGCGGCATTTCGATTTACCTCATTTTTTATGCCATTGAAACTCCGATTTCCAAGTTGCGTCCCACTGCCGCAGTACATTACACACACATGCGCACACACACACATTTACACTGACTGTGCCTTTAGTTGTTAACGGTCTGCCTTACTAACAGACTAACAGACTAACTGACTATCTGACTGTCTGTCTGCCTGTCTGCCTGTCTGCGAAGTTAGTTCTTGGCCGCCGGTTTGACTGCTTGCTAAGCCTTTTCATTGCTCGTCTAGCTGTCTGCCTCGTTGACGGCTTGCCGCCTGCTTTATTTTCGTCATTTACTGCTTTTGCTCTCTTTTGTTGTAATTGCCGACGTCGCTGGTTGCCTTTGCTAAGCAACCGCCTCGTACTTAAGTTTCCAGTTTATTGTTCTGTTAAGTGTCGGCTGCTTGACTTGCCTATGCGTTCTTCCGTGTTTTGTTTTGATTGCTGCTTCGCGTCGCTTGCAACCTTAACCCTTGACGTCACATGAGTAATATCTCGCGTATTCTAAGTTGTGGCATTGAGTTCGCTGGTTGCCAAGAATGATTGCTCGACGAGTCTCAAAATAATCGATAATTAGAATTTATTTGATATATGAATGAAGGCTTCTAGAACGACCACGAACATGATTCACACAATTCGAATGCGCTCCACTTTGGTGCAGAGTTCATGTTCACCGCGCTGTTGGAGGGCAAGTGCGCCCTGCGTCAATTTTTAGTTGCATATGTTTAGGCGGCATGTATAAAGTTTTCGTACAGAGTGTGATTTTTAATGCAGATTTGAGGAGATATTAAAAAAACTTTGATGAGCAAACTCTATTTTTTTTTTAATGAAATATTTGAACGGCGCTGCTTAAAAGATACCTGTATACCATACATATTTTCTGAATCAAGCTACATGTGGTTTATATATGTATATACCAACTTTTGAGAAGTATTGTTGTGAAGCGACAGTTCTTCACCACTTTTGCCAATTGTTATTATTATTTTTTTATTATTATATTTCGCTTGTTTTTAAGTGAAGTAAATTAGCGCTAAGCATACAAAAAATTGCATGCCTCTACTATAGTATAGTTCTAGGTTTAATTTATTATAAATTGTTGATGTTAAAGTATAATTGGAAATACATGATAATAAAAAAACAATGTTGCAACACTTCACTTAGTAACACAAACCCAACATAACATAAAATATTACGCGTGAGTGGCATATCAATAACTCAATTTCACGCTTTTCTCTCTTTTCAAATAAACTGCAACTCGCTACTGTATACGATGTACCAAAATGTTCGCTAACAGGAACAGGTAAGTTTTTTAACATAGCTTTATCAAACCCGATTCCTACGCTCTAAGTTCTATGCCTATTTTAACTCAACTAAATAATACTAACAAAAAGGCGATGAAACACACAAACCAAACAAAGAAAACAAAGCAAAAACAAAACTTATAAGCACAGACTGATGGACTTTTTGCAAAAATTGCTATTTTCACAGGCAAAAGGGATCAATGCAAATAATAACAGTAAAATTCTTTGCTCAGAGCGAAAATGTGCATCAACAAAAAACCAAAAAAAAAACACACCATCGCACTTGAACCATTTATCAAACAAAGTACACACGGCGAGAGCCACATAATAGTCATATGATTTAGTGGAGCGTGTCAAATTCAAAACGATTTAGTTTAGAAGTTCGAAAATCAAACAGAATTAGTGATATAGATATACAGTTAGGACGCGTGTAACTAGGCACTTAGCTGCAATATTGTATTTAATTATATATTTGCGGTTTATTTTTTACTTTCCCGCAGTAGACTTGCCAGTATTATATGGGTTAGAGAGCATAATTAGTTAAGCGAATTGTCAACAAGAGTCACAAATGTACATACATACATATACAAATATTGTTAAAATATACTTAGCTAGCAGCTGTTGTTGTTTTAAATGAGTATTTATAACTTATAAGTGTGTTAGTTTATAAATCTAACATATACATACACACATACATGTAGTACAATCGTGCATACTATACTATACTCTACACACATATATAACCCCAACTATATATAAAAGCATAGCTCCCAATGTACAGTATATACATATATTTAGTTGTTAAAATTATAGTGAAAATGGCTAGTGTTAAACAGGTTGTTGTTACCGATTTATCAAATTAGGCCGTTTCTTTTGATACATGTTGTTACTCTGGTCACTGTAAGCCTACATCAACTCGATCATAAAATTTCCAAGTAGTTTCGTGTCTATAACTCTGTACCGCTATTTACTATATAAATATATATATACCATATATATACATATATTATATATGTACGTATATATTAACTTTTTAAATAATTATGAATCCTAAATAAAACTGTGACTCACACTTCTGCTATAACTATTGTCTATACTACTACTTACCTACTTGCTTAGACACTATAATCTACTTAGTCTGTACTTTAGTATTTATTGGTATGAATTAATGGCAAAAACTTACGTTAGTTTATAAATAGTAATCAAAAACAAAAAAAAATTAATTTTATAAAAAAAAATCGTTAAATCTCTCAATTTGTTGAATTTCGTTTTTTAATTCTTATGCATTTTCTTTCTTTCCTCTTTCATAACTTAACTTTTGGTTTCCCACTCCCAATTCGTATGAAATGAAATTTTCCGTACAAATGTAAAAAAAAAAACTTTTAAAAAAATCGAAAATCTAACAAATTCGCTACTCAAAATGAAATCATCTATATCCAAATTAAAATCGTTTAAATCAACCGTAATCCAAACGTAATCAATTCAATCAACCAACCAACCAAAAAAATATGTGTGTTTGTTTTTTCTTTTTTTCTCGTTTGTTCATTGTGCATTTTCAGGGTGGCTACTTAGATGGACTACGTTCACATTTGGGTGGTTTAACACAACGTGTCAAATCATGGTATTGGGGACGGCCTCTTGTAAGTGCAATTGTATTTTTCATTTTCCCATTTCTTCTTTTTGCAACCAGCAACAACAACCACAAATAAACAACAATAAAATACCAAAGAAATTTAAACAAAAAACTTACAGTTCTTTTACGCCTAAAATAACTACAATTAACACATACTTAACTTAACTTAACTCAACTTAACTTAACTTAACTCAACTTAACTTAACTTAACTTAACTTAACTAATCAACTAACCCGTATGTTCAATTAAACTTAACCACAATTTAATCGAATAAATTGCATTACAATTAAACTAACTAACTTAATTTTATTGTTGCATTCAAGTGTTGCACTGCATTTCTTATCAAATAGTTTACAATAATACCAAAAACCAAAAAAAAAATTACAGCAATTGTTAACTGCCCAATTTGCACTGTTGTCATCAGAAACTATCGTAGGCTTATTTGTAATTGAGTTTGTTAACTGCGTGCTGCCTACAACAACCATCCTCAATGTCCTCATGCATATTACACGCCGCCCACCGCAAGTTTGTTTCTTAAGTCTTTTGTTACGTACGTTCTCTGCTTGCTTACAGTTGCCGAAAAGCATAACCTCTACATACATATTTACTGGCAAACACAAAATGCACGGCATGTCTACACAAATACACACACACACACACGCAAGCATTCTCAATTGAACTTACACTTCCGTAACTGTCACGTGATTTTTGCCTTATTTATAATTATATTTTAACTTAATTATGTTTTTTTTTTTTAATTTATTTGTGGTGTTCCAATCCACTCCATTCCATTCCACGCCATTCCATTTCCCATTTTTTCAACATTTTTAAGTCCAAAATAAAAACAAACTATATAAATTATGCATAAAAGCGAATGTAAGTATTGACAAGTTGTATTCTTATGCAAATCTGAGAGAAATTTAATCAATTTTGTACGCAATTACTGTAAATTAAATAATCACGTTGCATACGTAATCATGTTGTAATGAATATGTAAAACACTTAACAGCTTGAAAAATATAATTGCACAGTTCAGCATGAGTCACCCAAAAATTACCGGAATTCCTAAAGCGACATTGGTTTGTAGAAGTCAGCGTAAAGAGAGAAGCAAACGCATTTTGCTTCCTATTTGGGAACATAATTAGTCGCTGCTTTAATTTTAATGCTACAATTGTTGAATAAACAAAAGAATATATATCAAAATTTTTGAGCTTAAAGTTTAATTCACTTTTCCTGAAAGTGAAAAGAAGAAGAAAGTGAAAGAAAGCTTAGCGGTGGAGAGTGTTTCCATTTCGTGGCAGTATACTGTATTTACTGTTAATAGCGCTGAGTTACACAACAAGAGTGAGACTCACAAAAGTATTGCCATAGCCATTCTTTAACAGATTCGGCCGTTATGGCCAATTCACATAGAACTTTTGTTTGGCTTTGCGTCTGACATGTGTTTTGACAGCAAAGTTCGCTGTACGCTTTTGTTTGCGTACGTTCATATGAAAAATTTTCGCAGCGCTGACAAGCAAAATGTTGGGCAACTCTCATCTTTTTACGCTTTGCCAGGCAACCGTCGCCATCTTTATTATAGAGAAACACTGAAAGCAAAGCGTTCATTGTGGCATACCCTTTGTGTACTGCGCTTCGTTTTTTCAGTATAAACTGTCACGCAAAGCAAGTACAGTTGTATGTGAATAGGCCTTTGGGATATTGGTTTCGATAATACTTTGTTTACATATACATATGTGAAGGTGCGCCCAATAACCATTTACTAAGTCAAAATACTTGGTAAAAAAAGCGCGGCATGCATATTCATTCAGTTGTAAGGACTTGCACTGCTTAACTGTAGTATTTCTACGGTTTTGTAAGTCAACCTAACCTCATTTCCACCAGCAGCATGAAAAAGCGCTGCTTTAACAACCTTACATAAATCAACTCTTCCAGCAAAAAAGCGAAGCATATTTTTTATTGGTATTTATTTGCATGATGCTGCAGTAATTAATTATGCTCCCAAAAGCGTAAAAATAAAAATGACACAAAATTTGAAAATAAACAAATCTACTATAAATAAAAATATCAACATTATATCATTGCATTTTTATATTATTATTATTATTTTATTGTTCACATGTTTTTGTTGTAATTTTAGTAATAATTTATTTAAAGTTAACATAACAGTGTGTCTATTTAAATTTAGAATAGATTTAGTTGCTCTACATTCCAATTAATCACCAAAGGTTATGTGCCCTTTTCGTTAGACGCGCCCTTTTAGCATCCGACACATGCCACATATTATATAAATATATATAAACATACAAGATATAGCTTGAGTTGTGAATACCTAATTTGTTAGCTGTAGTTGTAGTGTTTCTTTGCAATAACAAAACGTAGTAGCTGATATTTTAGTTAGTGCTTTTAGTTTAGTAAATGTTTTAGATTCACAAATAGTAAAAAAAAATCATTCAGCACCACAACACACATAATTACATGACTACATGCATACCTACTATGCCCCATCATGTCTTCATTTGCTCGTACAAAATTCATCTCGACCATAAACGAAGCCAGCTGTTTACACTTTCAACGTCAAGGCGACAATTAAGAGAAAAAATATATATTGGAAGCATATATATAAATATATATATTATATATAAATATATTAGGGAGAAGCGAAAACAAAAAAAATTTTTTTTTTTGCTTAGCCTGAGGGTAAAAAAAAAAGAAAATTTTTGAAAAAAAAAACAAAAAAAAAAAAAAAACAATTTTACATCCAGAGGTGGCCCATTCACTTTTAAAGTAAACTCTCGAATTAAAATTTTTATTTCGTAAAAAATTTTTGCTGAGTTTCTTCACACGCTGTGAAGTGTCCTCTTTCTGCCCAATAAAAAGTTATCGACTTAAAAAAAAATTTGTGGTCAATATTGGAGTTTAAAAAAAAGTCTTAAATTACGACAACAAGCTTTCCTCAAGCGTTAACATAAATTTTGAGTCAAAACCCGTCAAATTCGGTCATTTTTATATAAATAAAAAAAGGTTTAAACCAAAAAAAATTTTTTTTCCAAATTTGTTTTTTCAAAAATTTCCTTTTTTATAATCTACAAATTTTACCGTCAGGCTAAGCAACATTCATATATATATATATACGTGTTTTAACTAATATTTAACTGTTTTTTTTGCTTTTGCTAAAAATAAAATACATATTTGAAAATACAGAGTTTTTTATTCACTGCTAAAACAAATAACTTGAAAAATTTGTTACTTTTCTTTAATTTTTTTGTAAAGAAAACAGTTATATAACAGCCGTATTGCTAGACTAAAACACTGCCAATCGAATTGAAATTTTTTACGCTTAATTGAGAAAATAATATTTTTGTTGTTGTTGCCTACTTTTAGGCGCAATGTAGTTTTATGAGATTAACTCAGTTGTGCGATTGTCACTTTATACCATGTTCCCACCAAAATGTGGTTAAAGTGATAAGATTATGTGCATTTAACCTATTCACTAATCTAGACTGTACTCACTGCTGTTAGAGTTATATAAAACAGCTGTTTTTGACTAGCCATTCAAAGCTGTGACATTTTCCCGCCACAACTCTATTCGATCGGCTTCGGCAGCCCCACCTCACATTACTCGCCTTTTTTTATACTATTTGCTGCCATTTTCACTTTTGTACTGAATATTGTTTAATTTTTTACTTTTTATTTTCTTTGTTTGTTTTTTCTCTTTCTTTGACCGTCTCTTGTGTCTAAATCAGCTGTGATAATGTGATAAATTTTCCTACTACCAAACAGATGGCGCTAAAAGAGCGTCGCGCAAAGAGATTTCGTGTAGAATAGCTTTAAATCTCCTGGGTGACGAGATTAACAAATATCATTTTTGTATAGCGAAATCTTGCTAAATCTAGTAGATTAATGAGATAATCTACTCAACAGCCTAAATCTCGTGATTAAGTGTCGGTCGGAACATGGTATTAAGCACAATTTTCTAATATGCTCAAATTCAACTAATTTCTTACTTCAATCCATTGTGAGCAACAATTAATTTGAAAAAATTTTAATTTTTTGGGTATACATATACATATATACATATTATTATATATTATTATATATACATGTTTGTAAAATATATATTTTTTCTCACATCCGCGCATTTTACTCGTCGCACTTCGTACAACATTTTCGAAAACCTCATTTTATACTTAGCCATACAAGCATACATACTTACATATATATGTTGCAACACACACAAGAGAACAAGTTTTCAGACTCGAAACCGCTGCAAATTTTTACAAAAAGTTCAATGAAAAAAAAAGATGAGAGAAACGCATTCAATTTACAAACTTTTTCTCAAGCAATGCATTATTATTGAAAAGAAAACTATTTTTGTTCAATACACCGTTTCTTATGCAAAAATATTTCTTTATTACTTTTTTATCTTCAAATGTTTGCCTACTCTGCAATTTGCCTAAAATCAAAACCAAAACCAAAAACAAAATCAAATCCAACAACTTTTTACACAAATGCAAAATTTAAACTAAATAATTGATTGGCTTAAATACGCAACTCGAACACAAACAATTTTCCAAAATTGAAAACCAATAATAATAAATAGGAGTTGGCCACAAAACTCTCGAGAAGTTTCGATATGAAGGAGGAGGGAGGCACACTGCTGGGCGACAAAGGTGTACGCAGGCATCAGGTGAGTGCTCGCAAGCCAAAAGTGTGGTAAGACCGTTAAGTATTGAATATTTTTTTATGCTCATTACTAATATTAATTTGTTGAGTTTATTGCAAATTTAATAAATATAAAATATGCAAAGCTTCTCGCTCGTAAACAAAGCAATATTGTGCGTAACATTTTGACAAAACGCATATACAAGTACATAGTGAATTTTTCAATTAGAAAACGTATTTTTTTTTTTTAGCCAAGCTATTGCAATAGAACTGCAAAGCCATAGAAACATTTGAGAAATACATAGAAACGCTCAACGCACTCACAACTCATCACACAACCATAAACAAGCATACCTCATAGTATATATACAATTCTCAATAAGTTTCTTAACAATGAGTTTCATTTTTCACGCATTTTCAAACAAATCGCATTTGCAGACTTCATTTTTCGTACGCTGTCGCTCTCAACGCCATCACTCTCTGTTCTACACAATTCACTAAGTTTGCATCCCTATATTTTCAATTGAAATTCAAAAAATTTCACTGCAACCTGAATTTTATTATTTATTTTTTTATTTCATATTAGTTGGCATTAAACTACACCCAATTGTTATGACTTATTTACTCTATCGAAACGTAATATAAATACTTATGCTCCTTGGTTACTGATTTTGCTGCCTGCTAACTAACTAACTAGCCAAACTCTCACCTATATTAGTTAACTAGTAACTCAGTTTTACTAACTAGTTCTATTATTTTGTCAATATACTTATTTTTACTAATTTACATACAATAAATACTACACCCGAAACACTTACAAAATATTAATGCTATGATGACACATTTAACATATTTTTTTCTCTTTGTTGCATAATTCTGAGTTAGGAATTAACCCTAACAGAGAAACTAAAAGTTTCTCAAACAATCTTCCCAAGATAAGACAGCAATATGCTCTGAACTTTGCTCTCTTTTGAGAATTAATTATGTCACACGGTTTCCTTTCTCACAAACGCATGTTTATTGAGTGTGTGTATATTTGTACAATGAGCATAAAGTCAGACTGTAACCAATCCAAACGCAGATCTGCTCTTTTCTATAAATTATTTGAATTTATCTAATTATTATGAGGCTTCCCAGGCGCCATTTGAGATTAATAGGTATTAAGCCAAGGAAATAATAATAATCGAAAAATTTCTTACTTAAAAAACGCAAGATTTTCTAATCAAATGTTATTACTAGTATATCTGCAATACACAAGCAATAATATTCCACAACCTCAAAATAATAATTTTAGTAAGGACTCAATTAAACTTAATAGGCCTATAAAACTTTACAACTGCTCAAAATACCAATTTTTCCAGAACACATAGGTATAGCCAAACTCTGATTCTAGATGACTACGTCTTTTCAGGCACTTAACAAGCACTACAGAGCTGCTTAACAATTTTAGAGATCATCTAACGGATTCCCAAGGAAATATGAACATTTCATGTATAAAGTGCCCACCTAACCTTACCTAACCTTCAATATTTTCAAAAGTGTACAAATTGTAAATAGAGTTTAACTTTCTAACCCTTTGTGCATCTAAATGGCAACCCTTTTTCTGTCTTCCTCGTGGTTTAGAACATGTGGCTTTATTTGCCTGAAATTGAACTTCATTTTTCTACGTATTTCGGCCAAGTAACTAACTGTCAATTGTGACAACCTTTAAATATTTATAGTTTACTGTATATGTATGTGTGCATATTGAATTCAAAGTATTAACAATTTGTTGTTGATTTTTCTAATAACTTGCAGTCCATGCAACGCCTTTCGGCCGAGCAAAATGGTTCAACGACTGAACAAACACATGAACACAATCCAAACGTCGTACCTGATCATAGAGGCAACTTACACATTACTGTTAAGAAAACTAAACCAATTTTAGGTATTGCTATCGAAGGTGGTGCTAACACAAAACATCCGCTTCCAAGGATAATCAATATCCATGTGAGTACACACCGTATTTGAACCGAACTCTGAAAGCTTACTTCTATTTGCAACGCGATTCGTTATTTAGGAAAACGGTGCAGCATACGAAGCGGGTGGCCTCGAAGTCGGGCAACTCATACTGGAGGTGGACGGCAATAAGGTCGAGGGTCTACATCACCAGGTAAGTTCAAGTTTCCAATATAATTAATTTCTTAAAAAATCTCATGCAAACGTCTTGTTTTACTAGGAGGTTGCCCGACTGATTGCCGAATGCTTTTCGAATCGCGAAAAGGCTGACATAACCTTCTTAGTTGTCGAAGCGAAAAAGTCGAATCTGGAACCAAAACCAACAGCGCTTATATTTTTAGAAGCCTAACATTTGCTTGCCCTGCCGGCTAGTGAGGACCCATTGGAACGACAAAAGCTTGAGTTCCTATTCGAATGGGGTATCGATTTAACGACAACGCCAAAACCAATGCCAACACCAATACCATTAACAAAAGCTAAAAATCCACCGCCACTGCCACTCAACATTAAATCCATCAACCATCCATCACATCAACCAGCGTCGGCGACACACGCACACACACACACATCACTCGCGCCGCATCATCAGCAAACGACGCAGCAACATGGTGCCAACACAACAACAACAACGACAACAATCACAACAACAAGAACGCATACGCCACAAACTACACAAGCGACCGCGGGGATGCCAACACAAACGACGAGCGCCAAATATACGAAGAGTCCAACACAACAACATCAACAACAACACCAGCAGCAGCAGCAGCAGCAGCAACAACACCATCAACGTACAACGCCAACTACAGCTACAACAACACCGACAAAAAGTACACAACAACAGCAGCAACATCAAAGACTGACACCTGGTGATCGCACGAGAGCCGCGGCCACTACAAAAACAACAACAACACCAACAGCATCAGCGCCAACGTCCCGTGAGCACACACCCACGCGCAGCACACACACACAACAACATCAACATCAACAACACAGCCAGTCATCCTTGCAACGTCAACCATCGATAAATCAACAAAAATCACAACAACAACAACACGAACAGAGGCGCGACCTCGATCGCAAAGACTCACAACGCGAACGCGATCGCGCGAAAGAGCGCGAACATGAGCGCCAGCGTTCACATACAGATGCACGCGAGCGTGAACATGAGCGCGAGCGCGACCGAGAAAGGGGCCGTGAATTAGAGCGCGAGCGTGAACGGCAGCGTGATTATGCCCACGAACGTGCACGTGATTACCAACAACACGATCGTGAGTATGCTCGTGAACGAGAATATGCCGCACGTGATCGTGAGTATGAGCGTGAGCGTGAAATGTCACGTGATGCACGTGAGCGTGAGTATGAGCGTGAGATGTCACGTGATGCACGTCTCAGTGAGTATGAGCGCGAGCGTGAACGCGACTACACGCGCGAACGTGAGTATGATCGAGAGCGCGACTCCGAGCGTGAACAACCACCGTCATCAGCACACACAACACAACAACATCAACATCAACAAACCCATCATCACCAACAACAAACACATTACAATAAAACGAATTATAATTCCGTTTACCAGTAAAAAGAACAAAAGGAAAACCAACAAAAAAAAACGAATTTGAGAAATTTTTGCTAACGAAATTAACCACCAACAACAAAGAAACGAATGCTTGAAAAATGAATTACTTAACGCCGTAACAACAGTAACAGCAATAGCAACATGGTACAAACATAATAACATGAACAACCAAATTTAAACAACCACTCAACACAACAACAAAAGAAACCATGCATGGAACAACAATAAAGTATATAATTTTGAATTGTGCAAACTGTGTAACTTCCACGCATTAAAGAACCACTTAGCAGCCACCCGATTGCAATAGTCCAATACTAGCAACAACTTTCAACTAATTACAACTATCTCTCTGCATAGCGCCGCCGTTCGTTTCACTACTGAATTCCTCTCCTACGCGATCCATCTTAGTAACCTACGCTCTCATAGAAACGCTTAGAGTGTTCTATCTCTCTCTTCCATCATAGAAAAAAAGATATAAAAATTACAAAAAAAAAAATGTTTTGTGTGCTTAAACGGTTATAATTTTTAGCTTTTGTACACTAACTCGCTAAATTGTATTATTTGCAATTTTCACGACACTCACACACACACACACACGAGATACTCAAACAAGTTGGACAGACATTTAACGGCTTATTTATGCTAACGCCTCGTATATATTTTTAGATGTTTGTGCTTAGTGTTTTATCGTCAGCTTCAAATGCTTCAATCGCTTAAGACCACGTTCACAGCAGCAGCAAGGACCAACAGATGTTCGCGCCATGCCGAAAGACACGAGTTTTGGCTTGGCTTAGTGCTATAAGCCATATAAATATTTTTGACAGTTTTTGTTTAAGAAACTATGCTTGCAATCTCCCTTCTCTTTGGGTAACCGATGTATGAAAAGTTTGCCAACTGTGCAAATAGTCAACCGTGTTGCCAACTTTTTTAAAATGGCGACCTTTTTCTGTTTCAAAATAGCGTTGTAACTTTGTAAACACTTAAAAGTTGTGTTTAACACGATTTAAAGGCTATCCTTTGTACTGTAAGCTTCGTGTTTATAGTTACCGATTTATATTAACAAAGCATTACATTGATCGTAGTTAACAAGAGTAGAGTCTGTTTTACATTCGATCAAGAGTTTTCTTTATGCCGGCGCTGTTGAACATTTAACTTTATTGCATATTGAAACTTCCAAATTTATTCGTATCAATAAAACACTGCCACAAAAACAAACACCGTATACACTTTTACACAGATGAGTATCTCGAAAGAACCCCATAGTAACAAGCAAACCGAACAAATCCAAGAAACAAAATTAAATACAAACATTAAAACATGGTATAACCCCAACACTTTTTATAAAAAAAATTTAAAATTAAAAAAAAAACATAAAAAAATTTAAAAAAAAAAATATTTAAAATATAGAAAAATACAAAAAAAAATAATCCCAAAGAAAGTACCAAACCTATACAAAAACAACACTGCAGTTCAAACCACCACTCAGAAAACTATAAAATCTATATTAATACTCCACACATGCCGTTAACCAACCTAATTTAATTTAAAATATTTATGTAGTATGTATAAAGAAGTAATCTGCAAGGGCACGCATATACATAGTTGCAACACTAGTCTCTACTATCTCTATATATGTATGTACGTTGTAGTCTATATTAAATTATCTTACTTATGTATTTGTAATTATGTAAAACTGGATTGTATTGTGTAATTAATTATATTTGTACGTATGTAAAGTATATATCAGTTAATTGTAGTTTGTATGTTACATTGTAATTTTGTGTGCCACAAATTGCACACTAACCTTTAAAATCCTGTACTTTGTGCTTCACACTACGCACACATACTTATCTATGTATATATGTGTGTGTGTAAATCTGCTTTTGACTTTCTACATTTTAATAAGTGTAAAGCAGCATACTTCTGCGCGCCTGCTGTAAGTGTAGCATACCTACAGGCGCCAAGAAAATGCTGCGTTAGCTTTATTTGTGTGTTTGCAACTAATATGTGAAACAGTCGAGAAAGGACTTCAAACTTTTACAGAAAACAGTGACACCTACGACACACACACACACACCGACACCACACATATATAAACGTTATAAACGCAGGCAGCTTTATATGTACATATGTATGTGTTTAGAATGCTTTGTGTAATTTTTGTGTGATTGTATGTAAAAAAATGCAGCAACTATGTCGAAAAGTTGAAATGCAAACAATGTAAAAGGTTGAAGCAACGCAACTGAACAGGTATATTATTAAATGATGCAACTGAGATGAAATTCGAAAAGCAAAATTATGCAAACAAAATAAATATTTATATAAAGAAGCCCACCTAAAGCCAATAACTAAGTGAAACACTAAGATGGCAGTAGCAGGAGAAAACAATGTCGATAATATGTATGTAGTATATAAACCAAATTCAATCACACAAACACAACCTAGCCTCAAAAGTAAATAAATATTTAAGCGAACTAGAGAATACACCCACAAACACACACACACACACATAACCAAACGGAGAAGATGAGGAAAAATCACAAAAAAAATAATATTAATTGAATATTTCTTAGAAAGCACCACCTTGTACCCCCTATTAGTATATGAGGCAAATAATAGCACATAGTCTACAAAATAGTTAATAATAATAAACGGAAACAATTAGAAATGAACGTTAGACAACACAAAATACGAACGAACGATAGGCAAAGAATAACTAAAGCAGAATTTCTTGAGAATAACCGACAGTAGTCAGCTACAATTAGTAACCTCTAGTAAAAAATAACGTAAATACCTTAAATTAAAGTCACAAACAAATTTTAGTACAACTACGCACTGCACTTTCAAAAACCAAATGTAAAAACCAAAGCAAAAACAAGCAAATTTCGCAAAACGCAAATCTTTAGCAAATCGCCAAAGAAACCAAAAGCAAAACGCAATTTAGCCAAAAGCGCTAAGGCAACATTATAATTAATATGTAATTGCAAAGTATCTCTCACATGGTAAACGAGTTATAAAACATTAACTAAAAACAAAAGCTAAACTAAATGCTCTAAAATACATTTATCAACCAAACCAAAAAAAAAAAAAAAACTATCGTACTTACATACATCTTAAATAAAAACGCATGCAACATCAAAGCAGTAGAAGAGGCAGAAAGCAGAGGAGAATTGAAAAGCTTAACGTATCACAAATCAAATGATCAAATGTAGCAAACACATGCAACATGCAACAAATGAGGTTGATTGGCATTAGAGATAAAGGTAAATAAAGTAACAAAAACAACAACAACAAACGTAATCGTTAAATTAGAGAATTGCAAAATAAACAGCCGACAGGGCGCGTTACGAACGCTCAGCAACAGCAAAAACGCAACAGCAACAATATTAATAGCAACAGCAAGATGAGTTGCAACAGCAAGTCCGCTAATTACAAAAAAGAAACGCTGCACTAAACTAGACAATGTAAAAAGCAGGAAAAGCGCAAATTCGGACTTGTAATACAAAAATTATGTGAATCTAGTGAAAAGCTTGTTTTAGAGAAACTAGAAAAAATTATGAATAAGGAATTAGGCGAAGAAGTAATGTAGTGAAAAATTGGCAACTTTTGCCCAAATGTACAAATACCAAAAATCAATTGTTTTTTTTTTGTCAAATTTTATGCGCGTTTAAACACAACGCATGTGAACTTGCACGCATATGCAGAGCGCGTAAACCATATTGCGCTACGGCGTATGCGCATGCGTTTATATACAAAAAAAATTTAAAAAAAACCCCTTCCCACCCCTCTCTTACACGTACTACAACCAACTAACTAATCTTGGCACTTTTGCTGTCCGTTTATTTTGTTTTGTAAATACTTTCGGCTTTTGTAGGAAATCGTGCTACTTCTCATGCAGCATTAGCGCTTTGTAATTGCAAATTTAGCTAAAATTATTTATTTTATTAATGCGTGTATTGAAAGAGACTGTGAAGCAGTCGGCGCTGGAGTAAAGAGTGAAAATTTCTAAAACGACATTGAAAGCAATGAGAATGCGTACATCATTAGCCACTCGAAAATTCTCTTCACCACATTAAAGCGAAAAAAGTATATATTTTTTGCCATTTCAGAATTTTATATTAGGATTTCAAACTATAATTAATTCGCTCGTTGCAATAGTTAGACGAAAGATGAGTACCGTTAACATTACGTTCGACCAGTGTTGCCAGAAGTGATGATTTATCTTTAAATTGCAGGGTTTTTTTATAAACAATATTATTAAAATCTTAAAGTGATGTTATTAAAACAAAATCAAAATTTCATGCAAAAAAAACTTCACTATCAATATAACTAGCAGTACTTTCAGTGTAGTTGATAGACAAAGTCTCCACTTTGTAAGTTACTTGATTCTGCACATTCATAAACAGGATGGCAAGATGACGATAAACCCTTGATTTCTTTGAATGCAAAATATACATATGTATATTCAAGTGATAGTCTTAAATATGCAAGTGATAGATTCTGATTGGAGCGAATTACATCAAATTGACTTTAAAAAATATGGTCATAGCTCACAAATGCGTATTGAGAAGTTTTGCGGTAATATTTTAAACAAAAAAAAAAATGATGACACTATTTTTTCGCTCACTTAAAAACATTGTTTTTAACATATTGACGTTGTCGGTTTCAACAGCGAATGTCGAAAAAGAGTTTTCTCTCAAATTAATTTAATTTAAGGTAAAATTCGCAACAAGCTGGAAACCAAAATTTTGAGGGGCATTATTTACGGGAAAGATTCTTTACCAAGAAAAAACGTTACCTTCGGTTGCACCGAAGCTATACATATACAAAAGGCTTCACATACACAAAAGGTTCCTTAGAAGAATTTGGTTCCGCTCGTTCAGTTTGGCTATATGCTATAGTCATCCGATCTGAACAATTTCTTCGGAGATCCTATTATTGCCTTCGATAATGATACGTTCCGAATTTCATGAAGATATCTCGTCAAATGAAAAAGTTTTCCATACAAGCACTTCATTCCGATTGTTCAGTTTGTATGGCAGCTATATGCTATAGTCATCCGATCTATACCATTTCTTCGGAGATTAGATTAATGCCATAAATAATAATACACGCAAAATTTTATGAAGATACCTCGTCAAAAGAAAGAGTTTTCCATACAAGCACTTCATTCCGATTGTTCAATTTGTATGGCAGCCATATGCTGTAGTGGTTAGATATAGTTAGTTCCAACAAATAAACAGCTTCTTGGTGAGAAACGGCCATATGCTAAATTTAAGATCGATATCTCAAAAACTGAGAGATTAGTTCGCGTATACACAGACGGACATGGCTAAATCAACTCAGCTCATCATGCTGATCATTTATGTATGTATTTTATAGGGTCTCCGACGTTTCCTTCTTGGTGTTACGAACTTCGTAGCAAACTTAATATACGCTGTTCAAAATATAGACTCAAGTAAAAACAAAAATTTATTAAAACATTTCAAAATTTATTTGTTCCAGCTTTTTGTTATACAAGTGTTTACTTTATAAATAAATTTGTAAATTGTTTTTGTATTAAAACCTTTAAAAAAATATATTTGTTTTGGAAAAAGACTTTCTTTCGCAAATTTGGCTCATTTTTGAAGATTTAATCTTCACATGACAGATTTTTCACAAAGACTTTCTGGCAACACTGCGCTCGACACATCTCACGTTTACAATTTTTAGTGATTTATATAAAAAAGCTCCATTTGATAAATTATCAATATTTTCCGTCTCGCTCTCACTCACTCAATCTTCTATCTATGCTTAAAAGCCTATATATGCTTTAAAGCTGTCATGTTTCTCTCATTGCATCTCTGTCTTTTCATTTTTTAGTTACATGTCTTTAACTTTCTCTCCTACTCAATTAATATTCTACTAAAAATGTTCTCCTGGAAACCCAACGCTGTTTCTGTCTTTGTCTCTCTCTCTCTCTTATACGCATAATCTCCTGCACTCTCCCAGTTGTTTTGATGTTTCTGTCATTGAAATGACAACAATATTTAGTACCTGCAACGAGTTATTTAATGCTTCAGTAAATTATTCAAAATCTGATTTCTTCAAAATAATTTTTTAGATAAAGAAATTATCAAACTAAATAAATTTTACATAGTGTTTTTGTGGTCCCAATAGCAGCCTTTAAAAAAATTGTTGCTTGAAATATATGTATAACTTTTTCAAAATTTTTAAGCATCATTTGATATTTGAGCTTTTACAAGGAAAAAATTCTAAACTTAATAACTTAAAGATTGTTTTACCAAAGAAAGCTTAATTATATATAATTAGAAGAAAATAAAACGAAATTAAAATTAAAAAATAAAATTTTGTTAATTATTCATACGGCAAATTAAATTATAATGATTTACTATTGTCATAACGGTTAAAATAGTTATAATTGTAAGGCAGGAGCAAGTGTGTGTGTTTGTAGCAACGTAGGCAGCAAGCGAGCATTGTATGTGTATGTGAGTAAATTGTGCTTGCAGTGTTTAAAGACAAATATTTGAAAAAAAACTGTTGCAAACAACAAAATACAAGAGAGCTTAAAGTAGAAAAAATATAACAAATCTAAAAAACAAATTCAAGAAAATGTAGAAGTATGATGAAGAGGCTTGTATTAGCACGTCAGAAGAGCGCTGCTTGAATTTTCGCATGCATGAGTGTTTAATTTTAGCATACAAACATGTATATACAGATGTTGTATATACTTATATATATGCACTATGCATTTGTAATATACATACTAAGTTATATACCTTTTAATATATTTATATATTTAAGGCATTTAGCGTAAGGTAGGCAAAGTGGCAGCCAAAAGTGCACGAATGGCCAACAGTTAGAAAAAAAGCACTAAGAAAAGTTAAGTTGAATTAGGAACTATAACAAGATACACATCTTATATGATAAGTAATATCACGTGGCAACCTAGTAATACACCTAATTATTAAACTGACCTGTATTAATATGTAAAATACTATATATCTCTGTGCTAATTATATAAATACTATGTCTATACGTATATATATATGCATATACTTAATACCATATACCCACATAATTATATATATATATATACATATGTAAAATGACATGCAATCGCTACATTTAGAGTATTTATGAATTTCAATATGAATTACTAAAAGAAAGATAAGCAATTTCCCAACAATTCTCAATGCAAATAAAAAGCAACAAAAACAAATTGCAACAATTAATAAAAATAAAACAACACATACATATTTAAATGGGCAAATGCATTTATTGATATAGCAAAAATAAAAACAAAAACAAAAACACATTCACCATACATACAACAACATAGTCATACATACACGTATATACATTTAGGTAAATAATCGCATAAATAATAAATGAAAGTACATATATAAGCTTATGTAGCATATAAAGAGTGCAAAATAAACGCATAGCAGTACTTACATACATAGTTGCTATGACAGACATGCATACAGTGGTTATAGCAGCCAACGAGAAAGCCTGAGAGCAATAGCTAATTTAATTTAATATATAATATTATACAAAACTCTATATATAATGTAAAATAAAAGCAGTTGTAAAGCAAAGATACAGTTAATTTAGTAAATAAATAATATTTATGTTTAGCTCTTTTGATGCTGTAGATATGTATGTGTACAAATAGCAACAAAAAAGACCGATATTTCAACAAAAAAAATATAATAAAAGCAATTCCGTTTCGCAACTGCTAGTAAATATTGCTGTTCAATTAAAATTCGTTTTGACTTTAAGTTCGTTCACTTATTTATGTCAACATATTTTGTTAAATTTTCGCATACAAATGTTTACTACACTATTATAATTTTTACCAAAAAAATTTATAATTTTCCGCTTTTACTAGATAGTAGTCTTTGAAAATATATAAAATATTCCTACCGTTTAATTATCAGCTGTAGAACCAGATAATGTTAATGAATTGAAAATTTTCACTCATTTACATACTCTGCTCGGGTTCTATGTTAATTCATAAACATTTTAATTCATTAACATTCTTTAACATTTTCATTCATTAACATTCTCTGTTAGAACAACTCTACATGCGATAGAAATCAGAAACACGTACGAGAACAAAAGAGTTAAGAAACGAACATACTTTTGCCAGAGAATGCAAATGAAAAGAGAGGTGCAAATGTTAGCTGTGCTAAAATGGCCGCTTTAGCCATATTTTTATTATTCTTTGTTAAATAAGCATATTGCTTACGCAACGCACACACAAAAGTTGGAAAAATTGCATATTAAATGTTTATTTTATTATGAATTCTGCAGTTTTTGCCAGTAATCCACCTTTTTAATTCAAAACAAAAACCTAAATAGGTATACGCATCGATTTTTCATTCGTTGTGTCTATATTATTTAAGTTATATTTTTCGATGTTCCCTCATCTGGCACTACAAATTAGTACTCAAAAATATTTCATTTAACACTTGCGCCTTCTCTATTCATTTACATTCTCTGCTTTTCAGCATATTGTAACGACTTTTCAAAAATTCCATTGCATAAATATTTTTATAGCATTTTCAGCAACTTGAATTAATTATGTGAAACTTAAATCTTACTTTCTGAAATATCACGCTCTTTTTTATTAAACTTTTTTTTATTATTTATACGCAAAAAGTGTCATTTAACCGCATTAATTTGCTTAAAATTATTAAATAAATTATTTTAATTTAAAAAAAAAATCTGTAAAAATATTTAGCAGTTCTGTAAATTACTAAAACTACAAGACATTTAATTACCCGTTTATATAGCTAAATATACAGATATAGTATATGGTTAATAAATATATCTAAAATCGCTAAATAAGTGTATACATATGTAAAAGCTATGAAATGAAAAGTAATACTAGAAATGGCTAAATATTTAGTATTCAGAAAAGTTAAACAATATATAAAACTAATTAATTTCATTAAAACTATATTTAAAAGTTAATATTAAAATTAAACTAAATTATTGCTGATTATATTTACTAAATAAATAAAGAGAAAATTATATTAGTGAGAAAAAACAAATAAATTAGCAAGAAGTAAAGCATTCACATAGCAATGAAATAAATATAAAAAATAAGTATATATATATACATATATATAAATTAAAAATTATTTAAAAAATAGTATATATATACATAAATATAAAGCGCTGATTTACTATTACCGAATTATATTATAATGATAATTACTAAAACTAATTGATATCACATTTATTTAATTTAATATTTCATTAAAAAGGATAGAAGAAAAACGCAAAAATCCTGAACAATGCAAGCATGCAACAACAAAATTATTATTAACAACATTGTCCTTGGTATTTACAAACATAACCCAATAGAAAAAAAAAACAGAAGAACAAAAAAATAAAAGCAAACACCGCTAAATAAAAAGAAGAAAAACATGAAAGCGTAAGAAAAAAAGAAAGCAAAGATATTATTCTTAACAAATTAAAGAAGGAAAAATTAATAAATTGTTTTTAAAAAATAAAAATTAACATTTTACAACAATTTCTTTTTCGCTCATAGCTGATAGCATTGCAGCACATAAGCACTGCGCACGAAACATACATACATATATTTCTTGCAGTGTAGAAACCTTTGCTGTAGTTTCAAATCAAAACACTTGTTTTCATTAGAGCCGAGCGTTAGTTAGAGCATTTGAACCAGTTCCGCTGCCTGATTAGCATTACAGGCTTTGCAGCTGAGGCGGCTAACTCATTTGTTTACCAATTTACTTTTTAATGTAGCTATGGTCAGCTACTCGGCAGCGGTGTTAGTGCGAAACTAACGCGAGCTGTGATAACAACTAAATTCATTGCGATAATAATCGTTTCAAATAGCATTGAGATGCCACAAAACTTTACATGCGAGTGCCTTAGTGCCCACGATCAGCAAGTGCTGAATGCCATATTCAAACCGCTGGAGCTCACTTCGAGTGTGGCGCAAGCAATTACACCTGAAGTGCACGCCGAACTTGTGGATGTCGAGCCGGACAGTGCGGCAGTGCAGCAATCCAAGGCGCTGGAGGTGCGCGCCATCAAATTGGCGGAGGAAGGCAAGTTGTTGGAAGCTTTGCAGAACTTTGAGCAAGCGCTCAACGTGGCGCCAACACGAGCTTCTGTTTACAACAATCGTGCACAGGCGCTGCGACTAGTCGGCAGGGATGAGGGTGAGTGACGGATGGCACAATTAATATTTTTTAAACCAAATACGCAAAACATTGTTGTTGACAAACTTTGGCTGATGTGCAATATAATATTTATAACAGTGGCTCACAAACTGCTCACAGTTTGCGAAGCAATGTGTAAGTTTTGCTTACGTTGTGCATACTTCAGACACCAACCATACAAGGCGACATCTAGTGTTGAGAAAAGCACATTATATTTAGGGTAAATTGTGGTTTTTTGGTTGTGAAGTATATTTGTGGCAATAAGTTCGTTAAGGCAACTTACGGTGAGTACTTCAATTTCGTTTACTCTCTCTTAGACTTTATGATACAGCGCTAAGCTGATATTTAAGATCAAAGTTAGTTACATATATATAAAATGCCTTTCTATAATGTTAACAATTGCTTGCAATCTTTTATATTATCTTCTAAGAGTATATCTATATAACATATTTTTTCAACAGAGGCACTCGTCGAACTGTCGCATGCGATTGAATTGTGCACCGAGCAAACGCGCACGAAATGCACCGCGCTGTGCCAGCGTGGCGTGCTCTACAGGAAGCAGAACAATGTGGATGCAGCGCGCAAGGATTTTGAGGAGGCGGCGCAGTTGGGCAGCAGCTTCGCCAAAACACAGGTACAACACACACACACACACTATGAAACGCCTACCCCATGTGCACTTGTTACACACATACTTTAATAAAAAACACTAATTTTTTTTTTAACTTCCATCCAGCTTGTGGAAATCAACCCCTTTGCGGCACTTTGCAACCAAATGCTGCGCCAGGCATTCGATCAATTGAAGTAGTATTTATTGCTGTTGCGGAATTTCTAAATAAAAATAAACTGCACAAGCGCTGCGTAGCAAAATGAAGCTATTAACTATTTTAATTACATAATATGAGCGTTTAAATAGAAGCACATCAAAAATCCTTTGAGCGCAGAAAAAGTCTTTAGCGGCGTGACTGAGCCAACACACAAAAAAAAATACATACATATATGTGGTAAAAATAAATCCAAAACTAAAATCAAAAATGTCGCTGCTGCTAAAATAAGTTGCGGTAAATTGTGCTCATCTCGACGAACCCTTGCCAAGCTAACCCTGTGCGCATGCGTTGCTTTAAAGCAGCGCAGTGCTCGCAATTTTTTATTCTGTTTTCAGTTTGCAGTTGCAGATTGCGGCAAGGTGCGTTTTAGCAATACTAGCAACAGCAACAACAAGCATATTTAGTCCTAGCAGACAACAATAACAAATACCCAGTGTCTCTACATATACGCATACATATCTACAATGCATAAGTATGTATATATGTGCGCATTAGCAACAGTTGCAACCGACACTCAGCAAGTCTCGACTGCCGACGCGTCTTAGCAATTGGCACGTGGTATGCGCGCGAACTCTTGCCTGCCTCATATCACTGTTGCACGACCAGCCTGCGATTGCAACTAGCCGCATGCAGCCAGACACTGCTTTGCGCTATTGGTACGTGTGCCAGTTTAGTTGTGGTTGAGGCTGTTGTTGTTGTTGCCACAGTGATTATGATTAAAAGGCATTTACGAACAGCGCGTTGCCACATCGTCTGTTGAACGTCGCACGGAGCGGCGCAATGTGCATATAAAAACAACTGTTACGGTTTTGCGGCGGTCACAACAATAGCAACAAATACAGTCACAACTGATGCCTTAACAGTTATTAAATGCAACACATGCCACAACAACAACAAAAGCAGCAATCACTACGAGGACCTCTGGCGCGAGGGGAGCAAGTAAAAGAAATCCCTAAGAACGGCGTAGAGAATCAGCGGCGAAAGGAGAAACATTTATCACACAAACACACACACACATATACATACACAGAATTGATTTAAACGGTATTGTGTTCAAAAATGCTATCTTAACTCACCACTTTGTGTGAACGTATGAAGAAACAGCTTTCAAGAACACAGTGATTCTTTCTAGACGACTCTATAAATATTAGAGCCAAGTCTTGGAGTCGCTTCGCTATCGTCTTAGAACAAGATTATCTTTTTCTACAGCGTTCTTAAAAGTTATATATCTATTTTTGAGCACTAAAACATCAGCGAAAAATAAAACTAAATATATATGTATATATACTTGTATATATTAGGGTGGAGTGAAAAAAAATTTTTTTTTTCCTTAGCCTGAGGTTAAAATTTGTAGGTTATAAAAAAATAAAATTTTTGGAAAAAAACAATTTTTTTAACACTCACTTTTAAAGTAAATTTCGAGTTAAAATTTTTTTGAGCAAAAAATTTTTTAATAAGTGTTCTAGAAGCTGTGGAGAGTCCTCTTTTTGGCCAATTAAAAGTTATCAACTTAAAAATTTTTTTTGTGGTCAGTATTGGAGTTTTAAAAAATAATTCTTAAACGACAACATTAAAAGCGTTAAAGTAAATTTTGAGTCAAAAACCGTCAAATTCGGTAATTTTTACATAAATGTAAGGAGTTTAAACCAAAAAAAATTTTTTTTTGCCTAAAAAAATTTTAACTCGAATTTTACTTAAAAAAAAATTTGTTTTTCCAAAAATTTTCTTTTTTTATAATCTACAAATTTTACCCTCAGGCTAATCAAAATAAACATTTTTTTTTGCTCCTCCCTAATACATATAATATATCCATACAATTCCTTTAAAAAAGTAACTGTTTTCCTCAAACCCTAAAACGAACCACTGTTCACATATACATATGTTTCCACTTTTACATAAATAACTGCAAATAATACAAAATACATGTACATCTCAGGCCGCAACAGTTGCAATCAAGCAGTGGCACTAGCAACAGGAGCAACCTCGGTTGATAACGAAATTATTTAAATAAACGAAAGTGGTTTCTTGGCTTTTTGCGTTGCCACGAATGAAAAAACTCGGTCATTCGTATGGGAGATTTTTCTCTAAAGCTGCGCCAGCGCAATGTGTTTTTGCCACGGCTGTATGTGTTGTGTGATGTGTTATGTGGCATGCGGCATGCGTGCCAGCGCGTCATGGTGGCACGAGCTGAAATCAAAAGCTAGCAGAAATAAAACCAATGTTGAAGCAAACCGCAGAAAAGACTGAGTGCTGAACTTCTTTCGAATTGCTGTTGAAGGAGGAGCGGTGGAGTTGTAACTGAAATCTCCACTGCAGGACGTTAGTATCAAAAACCCTTCGACCGCAACTGCTGTTGCCGATGATGCTGTCACTTTTTGCGTTTCTTGTTGTTGTTATTGCTGTTGCCCTTGTCTTTCAGTGACAGCCGCCGTTAAAACAAAGTCTCAGTATCAAAGCAAATTCGCTGAGAACAGTTTTTCTGCTCGCGCGCACCGAGCAGAACAGTTAACCATTGAAATTGTGCGCACCGACAACGGCCGACGGCCGACGACCGACGACCCAGACACAGCGCAGATCCTGTTTAATGCAATTTTAGTGAAATTTGCTTTTGCTGCTACCACTGTTGTTATTGTTGTTGACTGCTGCTGTGGCAGCTTTGGAGACGCATTCGAAATAATGACGCGATTGCGGTTAAGCTGTGTCTGCAATGACTTGGCCAACGCCAAAAGAACAGGTGCACCCACAAGGATAACAAAAGCAACAACAAAAACTATAAGTACAACATAGTAGAAGAAGCAGAATTGAAGATGCGTATGAGCAGGGAAAAAAATCACAATTCATGTCAGCGGTTTTGTGTTCCAACAATTGGGATTTTCGCATTAAGATGTCTTCCCGACGTTTAAAGTGCTTTTAGATAACCCTGCAGCACTGCAAATTGAAGACGATTAAGTTCGTAAGACTAAAAGCCAAAGCAAATGACATATTTTAGCAAAGCTGTGACAGAAATTAGAACCATGAATGAAAAGAGATAGAGACTATAACTCTGCCCAAAACACTCTTTTTCTCTTGTCTGTAATAAAGCATAGCACCGGGCGCTCATTGCTGCCTCATTAATAACCAACATTTGCAAATGTTGACATTCATTAATTGCCACTTGATTTACCGACCATGACTCCTTTTTCACTTTTCACAAACAAGACGAGTTACTACGCGAATATCTGCAATTTACACCATGCAGTCGCGGCAGCCACAACGCCTCCACGCACTTGGCTCCTGCGTCATCAACCACCGCCTGCACAGTCGCTTCGACATGAAGATGGCACTGAAGAGTCAACAAAGGCGAATGGCGCCTGCCGACATGAATAGCAACTGAAATCATGTAATTATGTTGCCTTTTGTCAGGTCGGACGACATAAGCAGCCGCCGAAGTAACAGAATAGGCAGACGCTGCAGAACGCCAAACGCCATAAGCGCAATGCGAGTTGTGCAAGTGGGCACTGCCGAGCTATGCTGTAACTATTTTTATGCAAATCGCTACTGACAGCTGTTGAATAGACCAGCCAACCAACCGTTCAACCACTAAATTGTTCGACCAACAACGGTAGCAACAGCAACGAACGTGCGCGCCTCACAAAGACAGTCGAAGAATATCGCCAACAAAAGTAGAATAAAATCACTTGAGTCAACAGCAGCGAGTTGGAGCTAAGGTGTACGTATCTCCTTGCCTGCATAACCAGGCCTATCTAAAAGCTTTTGGTAAGCTGTATCAGCGTTGGTGTACTTCATAGTTGTGGCTGCGCCGCAAAACGCTTTGATGTGTAGGCAAATCTCACGCGTAGTCTTAGTTTTAGTTACTGGAACCACAAATCTGTGTTTGCTACAGCACAATGGACTGACAATTCACAAAACGACCGACCCAAAGACAAACCGGCACATTCTGCCGCACAATACTTCCGATTCGGATTGTTATTATTGCATATTTGAAGTTTAAGATGCTCACTGGTAGGTATTTCACCACATGCCAACTCGGATTGGAGTCACCACAGAAATACATTTGCACAATGATTGTTAAGGTATTTGCACGCAAAGTGTTGCCAAAGAAACGAATTTTTTAAAGGATCCTCACGCAAACCTAATATTTATTGATTAGGATGTGATGGATAGGATTTCACTCAGTGACTTCAGGATGAATTATTAAGATGCTCAGAGAACAACAAAAGAACTCGAGAGGCATCACTCGGTTTCCAACGGTTTCGGTTGCGACTCTGTGTAGTAATTACCAACGTTGAAGAGTCTCTCACTGGTAATATTTAAATCCTCATTTATATAAACGTATAAGCTACATTGGAATATCATATCATATTTCTCCTTCTCGGCCTATGCGATGGTGGTTTGTTAAGCGTTTCATCATTATGTATCTTTCCTTGCTTCACCGTTTCTTCATAGCCGCATTGTAGTTTATTATTCCAGCTAATGCCTTTTTTATCTTGATTGTATAACTGCTATTGATACAAGTAAACCACATTATCCAATATGTGCTATGTCACTCCGCAGCTACATAAGGTGGCGCTAGAGAAAGCATACAAACCGCATATCCTTTATTGTCTTCCACAATCAGCTTAATTTTCATTTGAGGCTTCCTCGTGGACTGCCTCTTGAATATACATAATTTCACTCACCGGTATGCTCACAATATGAATGCAACAGGCACCCCCACCTTTCAGCATCCTTCATCGCAACTCCCCCATTGTAATGATTGTAATGTGTGCTCTGTATTTGGTGCCGTAAAGGAATTCGCTCGTATTTGCTTATTTGCGTATCAAACGCACCTACTTGTCTGCCGCCAGCCGACTGTTGAACAACCAAAGCAACCGATGCTACTTCCACTCAACCAGTTGCTGCTACAACGCCAACTCCAGCTCCAATTCGGCGCACAGCTCGGCCACGGCACTGCTGCAATTTCCATGATAAATGTTTGTGCCATCGTTCGCGTGTGCAATTGTTCGCAATTCATGTTGTTGATGTTATTGCCGTTGTTGCCGCTGAC